CAACCTAGTGATTCTGTGATTCTGTAATTATACGCAAACATGTAAAAGTAGGCTGAGATGCACCCTTGACTGACAGGGCAGAAAACACAAATGCCACACTCCTCCTGACAAAGACCTCAGGATGTTGACAACTTGCTGCAAGTCTTGTTCTCTTTCCTTGAATGGAGATTGATGTGTTTGCCATGGCACCAAAAAGAGCACTAGAAAGCTGAGTATAATACCAAAGTAAAAAATAGATACCAGGAAGCCTTTTTTGTATAATATTTTTAGGGGTATTATTAATAAGGCTTTGGGTATTAATTTGGGCTATGAGTTTTAGTATTAGACAAATTGAACTATTAGGCTGTTAAAATAGTAATTGTACAAACAATAAATTCTTTTCTCCATATATATATAGTGAAGTCCTCGTACAGTTATGACCTTTTTCAAAGTACTCTGGCTGTAACTCACTGATTAAGCAAACAGACCATTTTAAACTAAAGCTCCTGGATGATGGAAGCTCTAGGAAAGTAACTCCAAGCAAAACTACCTCATTCTTATAGTATGTCCTGTCCCACAAGTGAGGAGGGAACTCATTATGGCTTGTAAAGGGGCTAACTGGACCATTGGGAATGGCAGGAAATGTAGGTCTCCCTTACAGGAATATGTGAAAAACCCAACAATCGCAAGTGCTCTACAGAGGGTTGGTTTTTAATCACTTTTCTTACCTCCTATCTTCCCACCTAAGGAGTAAAAGGCCCCCCAGATTCAACAAAATATATTCAAATGGAGAGCTACTGCTCTCAATCCACCAAACGCTGTCTAGAGTAAGCACACAAAGCATTACCATTACAGAAGTAGTTGAGATATTTATTTCCTGTAGGTTGTGAATGAGTCGCATTAATTTCCTGTGCATCTTCAGAACAGGACCACAACATGTATCAGATTTTTGGTTTATGAAATATCCTCTTTGTTAGGGGATGTAGAAAAGGCACATTTTCTAGTAAACTCAGGGGCCTGAGGATTCTCCTTCCCAGCTGCTGGGAAACCTGCTCTCCTGCCCAGCCTGGTGCACTCAGAGACCACAGAATCCCTTTGTCCTAGGCCAATAGATGCAGCTGCTGTTTTCCGATTGGCAGGCTCAACAAGTGGCAGAGATGAACAGGTATGTCAGAGACACAGACTTGCAGAGGACACTAACACAGCCATCTACGTAGGCGGCCCACAGACAGGGCACTGCCTTTAAGCACACCCACATACAACACCACCAGAACTCACATAAAACATGCATACAAACAGCCAATTCCCAGTCTTCCTCTCTGACTGATCAAGATTGAAGCTCGCTAGCAAAAACACACAACCCCTAACTCTCCAGTTCAAAAGGACAGACAGATTCATGGACCTTTTGAATACTAATATGGGGCCTCAGCTCATTGACGCCCAGATCCCAGGACTCCTACTCGCCAGATTGTCCAGCTTGAAGTCTGCTAATGAATTACACATGCTCACATATGCTTGTACAGACACACACATGTGCGCACACACACCAGGTTAGGGAAAAAATATAAGCATTCTGGTCTTCCCAGTGGCTCATGCCCAGGTACACAGGCCATGTCATTCTTGGTCCTCTCTCTACTTGCTCATGCTAGAACTCCCACCTGCTGCAGCTGGCACCAGGCACAGGAGCAACCATCACCCAAGGTCTGAAGCCAGTCACTGGCACTAAATTAACTAACTGCAGACACACGCTCCTATGATCTGTGTTATCCCTTCAGCTGCTGATGCCGAGACCCTCATTCACTTCAGCTGCTGACACCACAGACTTTAGGACTACTGTCACCAGTGGTCTAGCTCCAAATGCAGACCCCAAATTCAGTCCCTTTCATCTCTCTAGTTGCTGGCATCTAGATCTTGCAGATGGGGAGAGAGTGACATTACATGGAAAGAGAGTTAAGAAAGGATTTAATAAGAAGAATGGATAGACTACGGTGATTCGGTGCAGGGCTCAGTCAGTAAAGTGTACTGACTGGTGGCTGCTCACACATTGCCAGCCTATTTTATACTCCTTTCTCTCTATATCCACCCCCTCCTTGTTTCACTCAGATCCTCTTCCTCTGGTAATAATTCCTTAATATTCCTTAATTCCTTAATCATTTTAAGGGTGCAAATTTTGGTATTAATTGGAGTATTCAATCATAAGAAAAATAGCATGCCTAATGTTGGCTGTTTGTTATTATGTTATATTAAAAA